TATGTAGAATGTTTACACTAAAATATCTAAATTAATTAAGATAGACCTATAATTTATTTTTGGCTTGAGGATAGCGTTCAGAAATTACTGAAGGGAAGGGTATCTACAGCCTCATATTTTTACAAGCCAGCTGAACATACATTTGATATTGGATTAACTAGAACTTTTCTGATATGATAATCATGTAGTATGAACAAAAGTAGTGGTTAAAATCTGTCATTATCTTCCTGGAATGAAGCCCGATGTGAAAGCAAATCAACTTACAGTGACCTCGCTTGTGACCCAGAAATGATCTGAGAATAAACTGAACTGTACTCTGCCTTCCACGAGGCACAGAGAGTGTTGAAACTCCTCACTTCTGCTTCCGCTTCAAGTAAAAAACAGCCGTACTTCTCCAATAAGAGCTCGTCAGCTAGAAAGAGATGAACGTTAAAAGAGGAAAACCTGCAAATGAACACAGGTTAAAAACGTCCTTCTCTTTTCTGAGAATCTGCAGCTGAGCCCGAAGCAACTTCACCCTCGTCTACTTTGAAGAAATCAAGTGATGGAGAACTGTATTTGTGCCATCAAAATAGCAGAAAAAGACACATTGAGGACTATTTTTATCATGACAAAAGAACAAAATGAAGCCTTCTTTAAATTAAAAATGCGTTCATGTCAGTTCCTGTTCTCACCACCACTGTACCCCCGTCACTCCCATCAAACTATGTAATTAAAACCTGAAGAGACGACAGCGGAAACTTGATTCACCTCTGAAAGCATGCTATAACCAGATGAAATATGTTCTTCCTCAAGTTAATCCTTTAATGGGATAGAGAAGAATAACATGAACCATGTTGAAATCATACCTCATACAGGATGAAAGAAAGGTTCAGTCTCATTAGAAACATGCAGAGGCTTTTTAGGTCGGGTACAATCACTTCTATCTGAACCACTTCTCTTGCCCGCTTTCATCGCTGCAACACCTGTTGGTTTGACCTGATAACTGCTCTCATATCTGGCAATAAAGGGGTGTCCAAAACGGACCGTGTGGGGGTGCCTTAAGACTTCCTACCTTCTCCGGTCCAAACAAATCCAGACCATTCAGGACCAGAATCTAAACTAAGAAGGAGGACTGGTGCTTTGTTGACTAAACCACAGCGATTTCTATGTTCATATTATTTAATACAACAAGCCTACAATGTGCCAGATTGAGGATGAAACCAAAGGAGAGCAGTGGGAGGAACGTGGTTTCTGTAATACGTTCTAATTGGCATACCTGTTGGGAATCAAACACTATTTAAGCAAGATGAAACATTTGCCCTTAAGATAACTGAATACCAATTACTTTCTCACAGTGGTGAACAGCTTTGGACTCTTCCCCAAGTTTCAGGAGTCAAAATAGACGACCAAGGGGTTCCATTCACCGGGATGACTCCGTAAGATTGAGAGCCAGCTATTGATCATGTGCTATCCAGGCTAACTTATTGTACCAAACCATTGGGGGGGTATGTTAGTGTTTCCCTCCTTCACCTTTGAGTAAGTCAGGCTGGGTAACAAAAAAAACAAGGGATTCCAACTTTCAGGCAGAAACCTGGATTCATTGTTTATTGTTTCTTGGTAGTGAGCCGTTAGGGTGGGGTTAGGCGCCTGAGGGCTGATTAGCTGGTTGTGTAATTGGATAATAAGCTGCATATCACAGAGGAGTCTATTTAAGAGATCTTAAACACTTGTGTTATTGCAGAAAGATAGTACATTAGCCGATGATGGCGAGCCCCACCCATGTAGTATGAGACTTCATTTGAACTTTTGCTGCTTTGCTAAAGTGGTCATGATGGATAGGCCAGGTCTTTATAATATAACAATAAGTAAGGTCTTTTACCTGCCTTTTGTAACATACCAATAAGTAAGGTCTTTTACCTGCTTTTTGTAACATAACAATAAGTAAGGGCTTTTACCTGCTTTTTGTAACATAACAATAAGTAAGGGCTTTTACCTGCTTTTTGTAACATACCAATAAGTATGGGCTTTCACCTGCTTTTTGTAACATACCAATAAGTAAGGGCTTTCACCTGCTTTTTGTAAAGTGTTTCTAGATAACACTTGTTATGAGTTGATGCTATACAAATAAAAATTGATTTATTGATTGATAGAGAGGAGGGGGTGGGAAGGACAGCCCTTTTTGGACTGCAGTACCCATTTGAAACGCTAGGAGTCAGAGTTACATACTGCTCCTTTAAGGACATATGTAAGGTGATTTTTACTTTAAACTTCCTCAGATTTCCCTGATTGATTAATTGAATCTGATAAGCAGTTGCATTTTTTGTTAATCCCAGAGATTTCTGTACATCCAGTGGTGTTATTTTTCCAGGTCGGGGTTCTTGTTGGTATTTTACATCTTATCTTCACAGATATGAAGTCATCGACTGGTACAAGAGACACTCCTCTCTCTCTCTCTCTCTCTCTCTCTCTCTCTTTCTCTCTCTCTCTCTCTCTCCACCTCTGAACAGGCAACATGTCCAGTCTTGTCCATTTCTTTTGCACAAACAGCTGCCGTGACTTCACATGTAGGAAGATTTTAACTGGAGTTATGTTCATGTTATGAAATGTCTTACATCATAAAATATTGAGCCATGCCAATCATCCTCGAACAACATCTTCTTCTCTTCTTCTCTTTGGATTTATGCTTTCTATAAACTAGTATAGTCCTAAAAACTGATTTTTCACACATTGTTCTTATACCTTTCTACATTTGATATATTTAAGTTTAACAATGAGGTTGATGCTGCAGAAACTGATAGAACAAATAACTGAAACAAACGTCAACAGCTAATGGGAGATACCTGAATTTTTGGGGCTTTTTATGCCTTTTTAAAGTTTTTTTTTTGGAGGGGAAGGGGGGATTTGAGCCTGTGTTGGATAGGAAAGCTAAAGAGGGATGTGGGGGATGAAATGCAGTAAAGGTCCTAGGTCAGATTCTAACTCACGGCTGCTACAATACAAAGCAATATCAGGCTTTTTCCAGAAAACAACATGACAAAGAGATGTAGCATTTGCAATACATATTTTTAATTAACAAAGTATCAAAAACAAAAGTTGACAGATCACAAAGATGGAAGTACACAATGGTAGTAGCAGTGCAGTTGTACCTGACAGCCCATCATTTATTGGTTTAGGCTATGACGCTGCAACAGTCGAAACGCTACCGACAAAATAAGAACGGCCTCCAGTAGTAGAAGTAGGCACGAGAGATTAGAAACACATTAAAGTGCCCATTAGCTATCTATTACCCATGGCTAGCAACAAGACATTGAACAACTTCATTCACAGATATAACATACGCACTGTGAACACACGCAGACGCCTGCGTCCCTTTAACCGTGTGACTCTCACGAGTTGATCCTTTTATAACACATACCATCGATAAAACAAACCTTCAACCATGCAAACATAAAATATAAAACTTCAGTCCTCACCGTGATCGATATACAGTAATATGCGGTGCGTACATAAACTAAAACTCCTCTATTGCAAACTGTGTGAAAATACTTCCCTGTTGGGTGGAACCTTAGAGGTAACCATAAACGCTAATGCTAAATGATGCTAACATGATGTACAGTGTTTAGTCTTTTTGGTGAAGGGTTGTGATTTCCTGGAAAGGATTGAAATACCTCATTGATGAACTCTTCAAATGAATTCCATGATATCTGACTCTTAGCTCTTGTTGTTTTTTTTTACACTACCTCAGTTATAAACCACGTTTCTCTTGAGGGATGATTTCACTTGAAAGATAACAGACCAGAGAGAGGAAAAAGGAGTGGAGGGATGGACACATATTTGGCAGGATTTAAAGCCTGATAAAGTCACAACAGACAGAATAATATCACATCATCTTGCACAACTTCCAGAGTCAAGCATGTTAAGGAGCAGCCGAAAGCCGATGCAACACTTCTGATACCTAGCTAACGATATCTAGTGAACACACAACTTCCAAACCAAATGTTGTTAATAAAATACACTTTAGAAAAAAAAATTACAATCTTTTTTTGTTTTGTTTTTTTTGCTCTGTCAAGACCAAAAGAGGCATATGGTGTTTACATACAGCAGAACAGACTCAATGCGCAGTCAAAACGATACACAAGATTTCAGGTAGAAAAACAACACTCGTGCTTGTGAAGCTTCATCGTCACAGAGGATGCAGAAAGCAACACTAGATTTAGTTTAGTTTAAGAGGGAACGCAGTGACAAATAAAGTGAACTTGCGAAATTATAAACAGTAATCAATTATTTTGGGCAATTTGGTTGCCGGCGAATTTAACAGTTTCAGAGAAAAGTAAGGTATCATCTGCATATACGATTATATTGTCTTTTTTATTAGTAGGGATGTAGGATGCGACTAGCTGACTAAACGCTGGTCAGCACTAGAATTAAAAGTCGGTTAAACGCACAAATAGTATTTCATAAGTACGCTGGCCCTCAACCTTGTAACACCACTAGCCAAGGCTGACCGCTGTAGCCCAGGCTAAGGCTAATGGCCCTTCTCTGCTCGCTGTGCTTTCCTGATGTAAACAAATACAGTGAACAGATAGCATCTCATTGCTCAGTACACATGGAGATTAACTTGTCTGTACGCCATGTCAGGTTTAACTGATCAATGTGTAACCACATTGAGAACAGGACTGTGAACATTAACCTGCATCTAGCATTGTTTCTAAATGTTTTCGTATATTTAGACTACTTGGTTAGTCTGAATTCAATATTGGGTTAATCAACTTATTAACTCGTCGCATCCCTACTTTGTACTTTTTGACTTGTTACATACAAACTTGAAAACCCTGTCTACGACATACATATCCCTTTTGTGGCGATGCTGATAAGTCAAACAAATTGACTTGTACTCTTAACATATGAAGTCAACTTCTACGGCTAGCATGGTCCTGAGTGGTTAGTAGTAGCAGCGAATTTAGCAGTTCACATCGTACAGCAGAAAAGGGTCGATACGGCTATTACATGTCATACAGTTGTTACTTAATAAATATACTATTTCCTATACTAAGCACAAATAACAATGTCTTTTTTTTTTTTTTACAGTCAGTGACTCGACACCCAAACACTCGTTAACACACTCACACAGTCAATATGTCTCCAATTGCTTGACATAATGTGCCTTGATCACCTTGAATACACACTTTGGTACAAAAATCAGACTCTGAGTCAGGCGCTTAAAAACAAAAAAAAAAAGCTGTTAATTTGAAACAAATATGATGGTTTTGTTCTATTTTTAGTGCTTTGGCTTCTGTCCTTGGTTTTGACTGTTAAAAGAAACACAGCGCATGTCAAGGTGCAGTCCATTTTATGTCACTTTCTGCTGTCCAATCAGCAGCTGCGATTTCAGGGAGTGGTGGGTTCTGTTGTCACTCTACGCCTCTCTTTCTCTCTTTGGACAGCGAAGGAGACGCAGGAGTCATCTTAAGGTGGCGTATATTACACGGCATTCTCAGGTCATAAGTCTATATGGCGGCTCCACCAATGGCAGCAAGTGGAGGCTTTGCCAGTGTCTCATAGGTGACTGGGACACTGAATGTGATCGAGGGTCAGAAACCCGGCGTCTAGAGGTGATACCGTGGACAGGGATGAGGATAAGGTGGAGGAGTCAGCGGTGTTGGTTGCAGCGATGGAGGAGGTAATGTTGTGGAGTTGTAAAGTGCTCTCCTTGATGTGCTGGATGAAAAGGTTCCTCTCGTCCTCGGGCGTTTGGCCGTTCTGGGCTCGGACGATGCAAGTGGGTCGGTGCAGGTTGAGCATGTAGACCAGCTGCTGCTTCTGCTGCTTCAGCTCCTCGATCTGAGCCTTCAGGTCGGCGTTGACGCTCTCCAGTTTCTCTGATTCCTGCAGGCGAGAGAGGGTCAGAAACATGTAAACCAGCCTTTCAATTTTAAGGGATTTTTTGCGATTGTCAAAAATGTGGAAAGAAAAAACTGATTTTCATTTCATTTCCAGAATTGATTAAAATTGAAAGCTACCTTTTGCAGACCCTCTGTCTTCTCCTTCTTCTTGTTTCGGCACTTAGCGGCAGCGACCTTGTTCCTCTCCCTCCTCCTCTTCCTCCTCTCGTACTCCTGAGGTGTCACCTGACAAGCCGAGAGAAATACAATTTGTCAGTGTTTTACCCTTTAAATAAAAAGCTACATTCTCGTTTTCTTCTTAACTAAGAAGCTCAGGTGGTTAGCTTCTCTCTCTGCCTCACCTCTCTCCTGACACCGGACCCGCGGGGGTTGCTCTCTGACGCTCTGTCCTCGCTGGAGCTGGCGCCGTCGGAGCTCATGTCGGCGCTGAGCCCGTTGGACAGCCTCTTGGTCTGGATGGCGAGCCGCAGCTCCTCTTTTACGAGCGGTGTGAAATTGGTGAAGTCGTCCAGGGTGAGAGTGCCCGGCGGGGAGAGGCAGGGCACCAGGGCGGAGCAGCTGATGTCAGCCAGCGAGGGACCCGAGTGCTGCAGCATCATTCTGGGAACACAGGGAGAGTCACAGAGTTAATACTCAACTCAGACAAAGTCGAGTCGAGGTAGGAAAACAGCAGATCACATAATTTACAACCAGTTATGCAAATTTGTTCATTACAAATTCTAAGCCGTTCAAGACCTTATAAGAATTAAAACCAAGAGTGGCCTTTCTTTTTCTCAGTATTATACAACAAAAATGCAAAATTGGTTGCTATGGTAACGAAACATGAGCTCTACACGGCTTTAATTTCTACAGAAAAGGTATTAAAAAAAAGGTAGATTGGTGGTATTTTTTGCTGCGTCATAATGACACAGATCACTGAGAACAACAAGCATGTACAAACACGAGGCTGGCGAGGATCACTTCTGTGTTTTGTTTTTTTTAAATGTCAAGAGACAAGAAGTTATGTAAGGTGAAATCATGGTCACACAGCCAAATCACCTTTGCATAAACAAATATTTACCTAAGGCCACCCACAATTAAAGGGACCCATTAGAGGGCGTGGATGTTTGTGTTCCGCACAGAGAGAGGCACAGAGCGTTATGAGCGTGATAAGGTGATCGTGAAGTTTTAGATTTCAGCTCGGTAAGAACAAAACCAAAACAAACACATTTATGTAACTGCACTTTTAGAGAGTCGTTCTGTGTTGTGTGTGTGTCCAAGAAGTGTCACAATAACCAGACGTACCGCTGTGACTGAATATTTGTTCTCCTCGTTTCAGTGTCTTCACCTAATTAACTTTTTTAAGATAGATTAGATAAAGTTTATTGTCCATGCCCAACAGTGACAGGAAGTCTCCTTTGACTCGTCTCAAACTATAAAATCAAAGTAGAGACTTTAAGAGGGGGACTGTTAGAAACAACGGCTGATAAAAATGGTCGATTTGATTCTGTTCTGGGGGTTATTGTTGACGAATGAAGGATTCTTTGTAGATGTTTTTGTGGGCCAAAGGGACTTTGTAGCGTCTGCCTGGTGGAGGTAACTGGAAGGGGGGTGTGAGGGGTCCTCTGTGATCAGGGTGTGAGGGGTCCTCAGGGTGGCTCTCCTGATCACAGAGGGGTCAGAGAGGGTAGTTTGGGATGAACAGATTATTTATGCTGCCCTGATTAATTATGGATTAAAATTAAATGAACCTTTAATCAATAAATACAGCGTCTTCCATTTAATATTCAAAGTGTTTGCCCGCTGATGTCAAGAGGAAACTTTGTCATGAAATCTGTAAATGACAAAGATGTGGACGATAACATCCTGAGACCAAATCTTATTGTCTTATTGTGAAGAAGTGTTTTAAAACAAGCGGGGATAAATCTCAGAAAGTGTCAAAAATAAGAGAAACAAGCTTCATTACTAGAAATCATTTCAAAGATTTGTGTCTGTTTCTATGTTCAGCACATGATTTAAACGAGAAAAAATGTGTTGCTTACATTGTAGAGTTCGTTTTTAAGAGAATAACACAAACTCCTAAGTATTAAAAACTGTAAAAACGAACTTTTAATTACAAAATCTTTAAGTTGAAATCCATTCTGACATCCAATTTGAGATCTTTGAGTCGTTTTAAAGTTTGAATTGTTATTAAAAGATGATCAAATACTGTATAATAAACACACAGATCTATATTAAATACATCTATATAAAAGGGTTAAATAGACTTGAACTCGCTGGATCTATAAATGACAAGGATAAATAACATCCTTAGAAAATAATTTTTGTATATTTATTAAATATTTATTTATTAAAAGTTTTATGGAAAACACAAAATCTCTCAAAAAGTGTTTGAAATTAAACAAACTTTACAAATTATTTCTAATATTTGTGTCTGATTAAATGTGTAGCTTTGATTTAAAAGATTTCTTCATATATCGTCTTGTTATTTTTATTTCAAAGCTCACTTTTGAGAAGTTAACAACAACTCAAAATTTAATAAAAAAAGAGCGAAATAAACTTTAATAAACAGAATCTATAAATTAAATACATTTGTGTCATCTTTAAAATATTTTAATGTCATTTTACTGTTTTTAAAATCTGATTGTCGGCCGACAAATTAAATATTAACTCTCTAATAAAGTTAAAAATAATAAATAAAAATAAGACTTCAGATCACAAATAAACTTCTTAAACGTCTAAAAAGTATTTGTTTTGAATATTTCCTCTCAGCCTGATCGGTTTGAGTCAGTTTGAAAGTTTGGCTGAAGCGTCCCGGGAGTCACGGAGGAGCGCACACCTCCGCTAACCGGGACACCTCCACCTCCACTCACAACAAAAACACCTTCACGTCCCCCCCTTTAAAAAAAGAAGTCCATCCTACCTGTGCGAGCTGCGGGTTTGTGCCTCAGATGAAGTGGAAAGTTGTAGAAACAGAAAATCACAAAGCGCCTCTTATATTCAGTCGCTTCAGTTTCTCTTCCTGCCGCGCAGAGCGATGAGTTGCTGCTTGTCGTCTCTCAGTTGCATCACCCGTATTTATAAGGCTGGGGGGCGGGGCCTAGAGACGCAGCTTGGAATGACAGCCGAGGGGGGGGCGGGGTTTGGAGGAGGGAGAGCACAGAGGGTGACGTCATCCTATTTTTAGAGGGCTTATCCTTTCGATGATGCAATCCAGCTATACTCCGAGCTGCTCTGCCTTAACGGGGCAGACTCCCCCCTCCCCTCCCTTCCTCCTCCCTCCCTCCTATTCTTCCTCCCTTTTTTTTCTTCCTTCCTCCATCTCCCTCGAGTGTTTTCCTCTTCCTCCTCTTTTCCTCCCGATCTCCTTCATTCGCTTTTCTTTTTCTTCTTCATCTCTTTGACGTTCACTTATCCTTTCTTCCCTTTTTCACGTCTTTCTTGTCTGTTTTTTTTTCCTCCAGCTTTTACAACTTTTTCTCTCGTCTCACCTTTACCACTTTTCCTCCCTTCCTATTTTCTTTCCTCACATCAAACCTACAACTTCTCCCCTCCTCTTTCTTCCTTTTTCATCCATCTGTCACTTCTTCTTGACACTCCTACACTCGCCCATTCCTCACTCTTTTCCTCCTTCCTTCCTGTCTTCCTCTCCCCCCCTTTTAATTTCCGACCCTTCCTTCTCTTTGTATTTTCCTCATCCTGTCTCCTTTCCTTCTTTCTTGTTGTTTCCTTTTTTCCTTTTCTCAAGTCTTTCCTCCCCTCCTTCTCTTCCCCCATTTTTCCTCCTCTTATCTCTTTTCTCCTCTTAACCCCCTTTTATCTATCCTTCTCTCATTTCCTATCCCCTTTCCTGCTTTCCTCACTTCTTCTCCTGCACCCTAAACCTGATTAACGTCCTCTGTATCCTTTTTGAACCAATGAAATCACCTCAACTTCAACAAGTAACCCCGAGCTCTCACCCTCTCTCGCCTCTCTGCGTCCCCTCTCCCAGATTTGACGCTGACACAGATTTTCATTCCAGTCATTCCTCACTTATGGGTGAATAACGCCGTTAGAGCTGAGTGACACACAAAAGTTATTTCTTCCTGGGTTACATCTCCTCAGCCGGGGTATAAAAGAGAGAGAGGAGACGGAGAGACGGGGACATGATGATCTGTGACGGCCTTCAATCTGATGAATTCAAATTCATTTAAATGGTTTCTGATTTATTTATTTATAAGAGAGAAATAAAACTTCAGGACCAGCAGGAAGGTAGGAAAAGAAAAATGTTTCTTAGCGTGTTTGTGGGTGAGAAGAAACTCAACTGTGCCATTTTTTGTCTTTCTGTGTCATCGATGTTCATGACTTGTAAGCGGTGTGTGGAGTGGATTTACGGTGATCTAATATGTGGGGATTCTGGGTCTTAATTGGTCTCAATCGGATTATCTTGTTTGCTCACCTGCTGAGACGCTCGGGGATTTCCTAAAGGAGCAGCGAGCGCGAGAGGGTTTCCACCTCTCAAAAACACACTTTTATCACTTTGTAAAAGATGAGTCAGTTAGCAGGGAGGCTAAAGCAGCTAGCTGGAGCGGCAGTGAAATGGTGAAAACAGGCTTCTATTAAGACTACATTTAGAGGAAGAAACAGGTCGTTATTCCTCATAGCTAACCGTATAAAGTAAAGGTTGGACTCAGTGTTTTATAAGTTAGTTGGATGTTCTTCTCTGGTTTTATTTTTTATCGGCTGCTTTTCCTGTTTTCTTTGGGAGCTTTGACTGTATTGGGCGCTGTTGTTGATGTACGGTCATCAAAAAACTGTTAAAAAGTGCGGCGTGTAGAGTCCTGTCGGTGGTGGTCCGAGACGCTCGCTGTAAAAACAAACAAACAGAAGCATTGACATTGAGCGGAGTATGTGGAAAGTGTCAGTGAGAAACAAAAAAGTTCTGAAGCCTAGTTTGCACCTTTTTGGTTTTGGTTCTGAATTGCCCCCCGGGGACAAATAAAGTTTTTTGAATTTGAATAAGATCATCTTTACGCTGTTGTTCCTGTAAAGTCCACTCAGCATATCCTACTCCTCACAGAGGACGCTGAATTCTGAGTCACTTTAAGTTTACTCAGAGCCGCTGACCTCGTTTTTGTATTTCCATGTTAGAGTAATATTCTCTTCTTTCCTATTTTGACTTCTTTCTTTCTCCTTCCTTCCTCTTCACTCTGTTCCCTGCGACTGTTGTAATCCAGAAACTTCTAGTTTCTGTTGCCTGCAACCCAAAACTTTTAGCTTTCACTTTCACCGAGCTGTCACCGCTCCTTCTCAGAAACAACTCCAAAGTCAGTCTAAAGTTGTGAAATATCAAAATCAACTCCTTATATGTTGGCATGGGGAGTGTTGTAAGTCTTTATGGGTGCAGGATGTGACAGACGTGGCTGATCCAGAAACTTCTACATCTCTCTGGCCAGTGTGGGATAGACGTGTGTGTGTGTGTGTGTGTGTGTGTGTGTGTGTGTGTGTGTGTGTGTTTGTGTGTGTTTGTGTGTTTTCATTCACCCTGGGTCATGCATTGTTTCCAGGGAAGATTTTCCGATTTGTTGAAAACACCTCCGTGCTGATTTTCCATCGAGGGAAGCCTTTACAGTCTGTGTGTGTGTGTGTGTGTGTGTGTGTGTGTGTGTGTGTGTGTGTGTGCAGCGGTGTCATGGTGAACAACAGCCAGCTGTATCAAAACAGTCATTAAAAGGTTAATAATCAAACCAGACGGTGTTCCCCTGCTCGCCTTATTGTAGAAACATTTTATTAAAATAAAATCCACCTGTTTGGGCTCTGAGGTTTCCAGATGACATGACGTCTGAAACATGCAGGATGTCGTTTTTGGATTATACAAAAATGAAACAGCTTTTCTCAGGAAAAGAAAGTGGAAAGCTGTTTCCGATTCATTTCTCAGAGGGTGGACCGTGACCTCGGAGGCAGACGACTGGAATTTCAGTTATGCAAACACTTCGTGATAAATTAGACTCCATAAAGATGCCAAAGTGATTTCATCTAATTCAGTGTTTTGTTTGTAGAGTAGAGTCCACAGTTTTGCCTTTATTGGAAAGACAGCAAATGTTTTGAGGAGAAAGTGGGGGGAAGACATGCAGCAAAGGACCAAGGTTTGATTCTAGACAGATAGATAGATACTTTATTGATCCTGAGGGAAATTCAAAGCATCCAGTAGCAGGTTACAAAGACGTACATGACATGAAACATTTGTTACAAATTAAACCACAGAAACCGACGCCCCCCCTCCCATACATATATATTAACCCCCAAAAAGTGCAAACATTAAAGGTGCAATTTAAATAGTTGTGAGGTTAACCGACTGCTGCTGCGACCGGGACTTTAGCCTCTGCACTTGGGGTCGTGTGACGTAAACAGTAGGCGCCCCATTGTAGAGACTTTTTCAAGCTAGTTGCACTAAATCCTTCCTATAGACATCATATAAACAAACAGAAATAAATGTTTAAAAAAGCTAACAATAGATTATTTAAATCATTTAGCCCTTAAAGGACATGCATCAATAAAAGTCACGTATTATTCAAAATCCTCTTCCCCACGTTCCTCTAACTCTAACATGTGTCTCTAGTCCGTCTACAAACCCCCCAATGATGAGAAAAGTCCATCCTCTCCGTCTTCTTCCTGCTCCACTTGTCAGAAAATGAGTGCTCAAACAGGCTGTTTGGAGATATTCCCTTCATGACATCACAAAGGGCACTTCACAGACATGTTTTGAGGAGCTCTGAGACTTATTTAAACTGGTTGAAGAGGAGGAGGATATGTCACCTTTAAGTCAGTTTTCTTGATTTAACTAGTAAATTTCGATTGTTTTCTTCGCTTATTTATCTCATTATCGCGGTGTAACAACACAAGTTAATTTCTTGAGATCTTGAAACACAACAATTGGTTATGATTGCTTATATTTTTGGATGGACGATGTTTTAGCTAACCCTAATGGGAGCCTGGGCCCTAGAATATGTTCCCCTTTTCCCCCCTTTACGGACGGCCTTGCCACCCAAAAAAAAAATGTAAATACATGCAGGGCCTTCACAAAGTAAAGGTGCAGCTGTGTAAACGCTTTAAAGTTGTCGTTTTTTTCTGTGCTTCTGTGACATGAAAGGTATGTAGAAGCTCCCAGGCTCTCGAATGCGGTTCGGTTTTCTGTTCCAGTTTTCTTTTGGTTTTGATTCAGGGGAAACACCCTGCTGTGGCCAGCAGTGTTACTGTGAGGCTTCAGCGGTTTCTTTCAGCACGAGCATCAGCAGTAAAAGTTTCACAGAGATTGGAAGGGACTCCACCAGAAGCAACCTCAAAGATACATCCGCTGTGTTGAATCAGCAGAGGACTAGAGTACAGAAACTGCATGAAGGGGGTCACTAGGGGGGAAAAAAACCCCGTCCAGATATCGCTGTGAGATTTGGTAAATTATCCCTTCAAGTTAGGGGTAAAAACAAAATGTTTGCAAGGGCAGTGGATCTCACCTGTCAGCAGTCATTTTCAGAGACAGACCCAGTAATCTGACATCGTAAAGGTGAGCGACGGGGGGGTTTAAAATAGTTTGTTTTGGGGCACCATGTAGCCTAGTGATCAGTGTGTGTGTCCCATGTGTTCAGGCTAAAATCCTCCAAGCGGGAGGCCCGGATCAGGATCCGATCTGTGGCTCCTTCCCTACTCTCTCTCTCTTCCTGATTTCTGTCCTGTCTCTAAAACAAAGCCGTCCTCAGGGAGCATGCTGGTGACTTAGAGTCTTACAAAAAAGGTTGCAGACGAAAAATTCAACAAAAATCTAAAAACAATTTAAGCGGATATAAATCCATTAAACAAACAAACATGGCCTCCTGAAGTGAATCCACTTACACAAACATCCCTCTGAGTTTACTTGATTGAAACTAATTGATTGAATTAGTTGCCCGTTTACCAGATCCACTTTACACTTTACCAGAGATAATGTTTTAACGAGCACAGCCGACACACGTTTGTGCTCGTATTTTTACTTCGAGAGGGACGGAAAATCAAGAACAAACACACACA